GGGAACGGAATTTTTAAGCTGTGCGTTTAACAGAAAAAAAGTTTTCGGAAAAATTTAAGCTTTGCATTTGACTCAGATTACAAGGAATGTAATTTATATTTCTATAATGTCATAAAATAATTTTACACTATTTTCTTTTTTGTAACTTTTAAAGAATCTATAGAAAATAAATAGAAATCTTACCTATATTAATAGGTAAGTTCTATATATTTTCATTTACTACTATACATTATTAACTCAAAGATAACATTGCGAAACAAATTATAACTATATAACTTTGCAAATAATGGCACATTCAAATTAAGTACAATGATAAATATTGAGAGGGCGTGTGTCCTCTTATTCACTAATCCTAAGAACCATGTCAGCCATCTTTGGAAAATATCTTGTTTTACCATGAGATTCGAAGAGTGTCCGCATTGACCTTGAGACTTACCGTTATCTGATAGAATGTAATCTACAAGCTACTATCTTTTTAGAAGTTAAATACTTTAAGGGCCTTCTTAGAAGTTAAATATTTTACGTTACATACACACAAAAATATTATACGTACAGAGAAAGCATTTTTTTACATTTATAAATTTGTAAACCAGAGCACTTTTAAAACGAAGATTTTCACTGCATGAGTACAGGGATATTTTAAAACTGGCTGCTAAAATCGAAGAAAAAGCTGCTTAAATCAGCCTCAAACAAAATTTTTACAAAGATATTCTTCTAAGTCCCTTATTTTAAGTAGGTTTTTAAAGATCTACACCATTAATCTTTACGCTAGTTTCTTTTTTGCGTATCCAATAATACTGACTTAGAGTTGTACTGGATCAAAAATTAAATCATTTGCTTCCCTAGCGACAAATCATGCATTTTTTTTCTCATTAGGGCTTCACAATTTCCTCTCTAACAGTATTTTAGCTTCATACAAACTTCCACTAATTATGCGGATTGAAATTTCTTTTTATTAATCAAGGGACGACTCTTTTTAAGTTAATGATGCTAAGCAGCTGTTTGGCGACGACATTCATAACCGTGAAATTAATTCTAATGGAGTGCATTTTAATATTTTATATAACCTAGAACTTAATGTTCTAGACAGTTTTATGTAATGCAATTTCTATTAATACCATGACATTTCAAATAAATTTCAGCACTTTAAGATACCGAATCAGTAGATGTTGCATGCTTTTGTTTGCACTCTCCAAGATCTGTTACGTGATAGTTAAAGTATCTTTACTTAAAGAGCGCTGAAGCGAGTTCTAAGCCTGGTACTGTAGAAGAATTTGGATAGCAGTCACTATAACAGTGCTTTAGCCATTTATTGAGAAAAGAATTACTTATTTATGCGTCAGTAACTTATGTTGTAGAGGCATTAGGTTAATTGGTAGCAGAAAAGATGAAAAATATGCAACCGCCTTCGCCGGGAATCGAACCATGGACCTCTGGAATACCGGCACAGCAAGCTACCGTTACACCACGAAGGCACGCTAGGGAAGTGGGTGAAATACCTTATAATGTTGTTCTTATAATATTTACACCTATAAAAACAGAGTAGTTTCTTGAAAATTACAGGTGGGCGCCTACGTTGCAGCAATAGTGATGGCAAGGATCTCGTTTTATAAAACTAGCAAAATTATAATTTCAGGCATAAGAAATAATTGTGATATTAGAAGCATCAATGTCGTGGTACAGCCAGTGTTTTAATGTTCTGAATCTTAAGTGGAGAGACACACCGACATTAAATCCGGCTGAGTTCGAAACCGAATAAAACATTTATAACCTTAAAAGTGCGACAATGTCTGTCGAACATAACTGTATCTGTTCTTACTTTTGCAGCATTCTACAATAAGGCCATCAATGCATTGAGTTCTACAATATTAACATCAAAATATACACATTGTTTTCTGAAACTAATGAAAGGTGATGCAGTTATTTATGTAACGTTCGCATTTTAGTTCCTGTCGCAAAGGACAGTGCCTCCACATTTCAAAATAATAAAGAACACTCCTAGTGAATGCAAGCAACTGTCATCTTTTCCCAATAAAAATCCATCTCTCTTTTCATAGAATACAAATTGATTCAAGAGTATTGATTCTTATTCTATAAAATTTATAATGTTGAATAACTGTGAAGTTAATTTAACCAGTGGACAATATTATTTGATAAGTAACGTCTACAGCAGGTCCCTAACCTCGATGTCTGTATTCCTAAGGACTAAGAGATCACATTTCAAGGGACGATGTCTTTGTGTGACGAACCACTAGTCTTCACGTAGTCAACTGTTGGTTTGTAAACAGTTATAAAAATAACTTAAACAATCAGCAAGTTAATTCAGAAAACTGCGTCTAAAAGTCCCTGAAAATTCATTAGAAAACAATACATCTTTTTTAAATTATAATAACATATCCTATGTAAGTTTTTTTTTACTTAGTTGCAGAAGATAATAGAGTTTGAAATATACTTATGGGTAATACCAAGAAGTTTTTCTCTCTTGATATTAATTGTGTAGATGTTAATATTTTATTGAAATACACTCTTTTACAAAAAAAAATTCGAAGCTCCAAGAAGGACTTTTGTGATCGTGAGGAAATTTGGTATGCAAAAACATCTTGATCGAACTTGCAAATGATCCAAGTTTCAGGGTAAATGAACAGGAATTGCGATCATAGCGCACAATTCTCAAAGTATGAAACCAGTAACAGAGCCGGAAAATTATTCTTTTTTTGTTGCTGCCATTGTAATTCCGGAAAGAAGCAACTAAAGATGTCATTACGATAATATCGAAGACCTCACATACAACTAAACGACTTCGAACGTGGTTGCATTGTAGAGTTGTGTGAAGCTGAGTGGTCATACCAAGCAATAGGTCGCCACCTGCAGAGTACAGACACTGCTGTGCAAAGATATTGGCAGCAATAGTGGTTACAAGGATATTGCCGACGAAATGAAGACTCTGGAAGACGAAGGAGCACAAATGCGAGGCAAGATAGGATGATAGTTCGCCAGGCCTGAACCGCCGCAGCGGTATCATTGTCGACTATTCAACGCACTACAGTCATGTCTATATCTCCCTTGGTACCGTCCACTATCTCACAGCGCTTGTCTGAGACGAGATTACGCTCACAGAGGCCTTTGACCCCCACAAACCACCAACACCACCGACACCGCCGACACCATCGGCGGTGTCGTCTGGAGTGGTGTCGCAGCCGATCATCATGGCTACCATCAGGCTGGCATCGAATAGTGTTCAGCGATGAATCCCGCTTTACTCTTGAAGCAGATGACCACCGTGTTCGCGTGTGGAGAGGAGGGGGCCAGCGGTCCCAATCAGCCATTGTTTTACAAAAGCATACACCCCTGGTATGATGGTGTGGTACGCTATCCCTTATGGCAGCAGGTTATCTTTAGTCATCCTCCGTACATCTTTAACAGCTCAAAGATATGTTGATACCATCCTGCAGACGTTTGCATTACCCTTCATAGCACGTGATCTGGAGCCATTTTCTAATAAGATAATGCCAGGCCACATGCCGCTCGTATATCTCTGAACTGCCTCTGTGCAGTTGATACTCTTCCTTGGCCTGCAAGGTCACCAGACCTTTCACCAATCGAGCATGTCTGGGACATGGTAGGCAGCTAGATTCGGGCACCACAAAATATCTCAGATCTGGAGCGACAACTGATGAATGCCTGGCAGAATGTATCGCATGATGACATTAGGAACCTTTACCACTCCTTGCCACGACGAATTCAAGCATGCATTGCCGCCAGGGGCGGTTCGACCAACTACTAATTCGAACACTCAATGGGTGATTGTGAGGCGTGATACCTTGATTTACGTGGCGTGATTACCTTGATTAATCAAGGCGTGATCACCTTGATTTTTTAATAATTTTATTATCTGTGTTATGAGCTATACACATATTAATTTTCATGAAAAGCAACCACTTCCTTCTTGGTGCTACGATTTTATTTACCAAAAAGTGTATTTTATCAGCTTGAGAAGCATATACTTCTAAAACCTCAGTTTAATATGTAAGTAAAAGTAATATCAAACAACTCTTATGTTTGCTGCATATTTCTGTAGCCTTTGCTAAGATTCCAAGATTGTGTATAATAAAATTAAAAACAGGATACAAGTCTGGGATGCAAAAGACGTAAATGCTGCAGTTGTTTAAGTATTGTTACCTTCAAGCTGCATATTTATGTAGCTTTTGCTTAGATTCTAAGAATGTGTATAATAAACTTAAAAACAGGATACGAAACGAGGATATAAAAGATCTAAATGCTACAGTTGATTAAGGAATGTTATCTTCACGGAAGTGACAGGCCCTGAAATAAGAGCTTTCAGTATAAGTTTCCCCTATTAACCCTCTGAGCGGCCAGGGCTTTCGCCAAGAAAGCACAAATTTCCCAAACCTACTATGAGAACAAATTATTTTTTTTATTTTAGTGTAAAAACTCTCCTGGTATTTCATACCTGGATTTGTTTTCTTTTGCTATATTGCCTTAAATTCTTTGACATATTTTAATATGAGCGTATATAAACGTTCTTACAGACATCACAAAAAATATTCTAGGCCGTATATATACGGCCTTGCCGCTAGGTAAGAAACATTAAAATAATTTAAAGAATTATAAAGGTTGTCTTCATTTCAACGCAGGAAACAGCAAAATGATTTATTTTCCATTAAACCCAGGCTTCAGTTAATGAAAATTAAGTCTTTTTTAGAACTTTATAAATAAGAATAGTTTTTTACTTGCTTCAACAGTAACTTAAATTGTTTGGGGTAATAAATACGGCTTTAATATCACTTTAAGCTTTCAGAATTATTAATAATTGCTTATTGCTAACAAATGCAGAAAATTACGTATAAAATTCTCCAATGCGTGCCTATTTGTAGGTTGAGAAATTTTCGAATGCAGAAAACTTAAATTTCCTCAACCTTGGCGGAAAGTTTAAGTACAGTTTAGTCAGTATCAGGTAAACAATAAAGCAGATTACTTACTAGTTCATCATTAATATACCATTTCAGGGTGGCAGCTGGTTTAGACTTGGCTGATGTGCAGTTCACAATTACTGTGTCCCCAATGCGATATTCTTGATTGCCTCCCGTGAGCGTCGGGCCTTCCGAGGGCAGAACTAAAAGAGAAACAAGAGCATTCGACCCATGGTAGAGCCTTTCCATTATTAAGCATTCGCTGAGGCAATTTCCGAATTAATAACTTACTCGCAAATTTACTTCTTTAAGGTAAAGGCACAAAGGAACAACAATGAGAATATGAAAAGTTGACGCATTAATCTGCTTAGAAACAATTTGTCACTTTTAATATTTAAAAACAATTCTATTAAGAGTAATATTTTTCATAAACTTTAATTAAAATATTTTCGTGTTATATGAAATTACATCATATGTGATTTTATGCACTTTTTTTATATATCAATAAAAATATTTATTACTTAAAATTCAAGATAATGTAATGTTATGAAACACTTCATATAACAGAGTACACTAATCGCTTCAATTGAAAATTCTATTCAGATATTTGGTTATATAATATTTAAAAATACCATTGTAAATAAAGTACTGTAAATATTTTGACACTTGAATCACTATTATACAAAATAAAGTATTCGGCAAACGTTTTACGGCTAAACATTTCAAAAATTAATACATACCTGATGAAGCAGATTTAATGGCATATAATGTTTACAGCACAATATAAAACATAAAGACACTGATGAAAAAGAATACACATATAAGGAATGAAGCAGAAAATTACCTTGGAGCCTGGTCATACTAATTTTAGAGTGATTTGAGGCTAATTTGAAATATAAGCATTACTTACCATTTTTCAAATTAAGCACGTATTTTAGATCAGGAAACATGGATAGAACATGTCCCATTTATAAATCAACTTACCTCTTTTAGTCTCACATGATATATATAAAGTATTACTTAAAACATACATACATATACATACGCATGTATAAAGCTGATGTACTGAAGCATTTCAAAAATTACAAAAATTTCAAAGTAATAAAAATATGTATGATGCGCAAGCAAACATTCATTTGTGCAACACACATAACAGAAATTTGCATGAAATGAATACAGATCACTGAGGCTACTTGAATTTAAAGTAAATTGATAAACTAATGATTGAAATTAACTTCATATGAAATTATGATATAGTTCTCATTATTAAGTTTAATGTCTCTAAACCAGGGGTTCTCAACCGGTGGTACGCGTGCCACTGGTGGTACGCAAGAAAAAAATAGGCGGTATGCAAAGAAGAAAAATATTTTTAACTATTAAATTCAAAAATTAAAACCCTAACATCCTGATTGAGTTTTTCTCTAACACTTGTAAATTTATGAGATCTTAGCTTTATTCAAGAGTGGTTGTGGTAGTAGTACTTTGTAGTGGTGGTACTAAAGGTTTTCAATTTTTGTTTAGATGGTACGCATTAGTCAAAAGATTGAGAACCGCTGGTTTAAGCAATCTGTTTTTTGTATGCAGGTGAAGATATTTAAAGAATACGAACTTTACAACAACTAAATTTAATTTACCATATATTTACATGCATTCATGCATATAAATTTATAACCTTTATGGATTCAGAGGGAACAATAAAAGAAATTTTCTTTCAAATTTTAAGCTGAAGTGAAATATTCATAAATTAAGAAACAAAATAAAAAATTGTGTTTTCAGCTCGTTATGTCAACAGAATTAGCATGGAGTGATTTCGTGATTAAGATAAAATCTCAAATATCTGGGATATTGTTTAAAAGATGCAATGGCAGTTATTAGTACTTATATAAATAATAATAGGTAATAATTACTTATATAAGTAATAATAAGTATTTTAAGGCAAGGCAATTACAAATGTTGTTACAGCAGGTGGAAAGCTATAGCAAATAGATCAGAGAGTCAGATGGATTAGGATTATTGAATTATGGCAATGAACACGAGGGCTATTTGCCTAAAGGGAAGGATGCCTTCGTGGAGGACTTACGGGAAACTGGCTCGTATACATGCGAGTCAGATGGAAGGAGCCGGGCGATGAAAACTGAGTCATGTTATTTCATGCCCGTCAGAATAATTGTAAAGTTCACAGGCAGTATCTAAAAGGAATAACTATGAACAACTCGGAGCTGCATCAACACATAAATATAAGATATCAATTAAAAATAACTGATAACTTAAATTTTCATTGAAGTTGAAAAATTATGATATATTTGCAGGCTGTAAGTTATTCATTGTCAGCACTTTCTTCGGAAGATTTCAGGAGGGACACCTTTGTTCCGTGTTGCAGCTCCATGCAAGATTTTAAGTGTTTCAAGTTTGGCACAAAACAGTTGCCCTTCCTAAGTGCTTTCTTGTGTGATAGCAATTTTAGAGTGGCAACTTATCAGATGGGTGAAGAGACACATGTATGTTTCCTAGACAGAATTAATAGGCAGATACAAATTCCTAAACCTACATAATCTTTCTCAAGAGGATATGGCATTAATTTATATTTAAGGCAATAACTCTTTTCCTAATACAGTTATTTAAGTAGATTAATTCTACTCGGGGGCTGATAGTATCGCTTTCATGTCACTTTTATGTTATTGTTGTATCATGAGAAGGTAAATTCATGTTCTCATTTCTCCCTCTTCGAAGAATGTCGAAGAACAATGGTGGTAATTTCCGAAAACCACCAAACAGCAAGAAGCATCGTTTTGAATAATGTTGGATATCATGTTTGACACAAAGGATGACTACATTCGATTTTGCGCAGTTAATTTTTCCAGTATTTTACGATGTTTTTTCGTGTACTAATTTTTATAGCAACAACATTTTTGATACAAAGTATTTCTTGAGAATTTACAGAGAATAAAAGTTTGCCATCCATACAGATAATTATATAGAGTTGAAATTACTTTTATTTTGTTTCTTAATTTACAAAGATAGCTATTTAAATGTTCCTTACTGTACTGAATCCAAAAAGCAAAATTTTTAAACTAAAATTATTAAAACGTTATTAGTTATCTGCAAGTGCAATTTGTTATGAAACACAGGAGTATACTTTAAATGTATTAAAATCCTGAACAATGATCAAGAAAGCTATATAATTTTATGCATCTTACTGTTCTAAAAGGATAATAACAAAATATTTTAATTATTAAATTATTTAATACTATTAAAATTTTATTTGAATACCAAAGTTAAAGATTTAGGAATACGTATTGAAACGTGGAAGTTATAAAATAAATACAAAATTTTATATAAAAAACTATCGGCTTAAGAATTAAAACTACTTCTTGAAATCCAAATTAAGAGCAATTTAATTTTGTTGTAGTAAATAAAGTATATTTTCTGACAGCAATGCAGATTTTATTTGAATAGCAATGCTTTCTTTTCAAAAGTTAAAATGTAAATGAAACATTCATGCAATCGCATTCACATCCTTGCTGCACACATATTTCATTTTCATCGGACAAATAATTCTGATAAAAGTATAATAATTAAAAATTAGAATATTTATTATAGAAAATGGCTAAATTTGAATTTTCAAATAAAAAGGATTTCCAAAACTCATAGAAATTGTCAAATTTCAACAGCTGAATTTAGGAAAAGAATGCTTAAAACGAATTCGATATGCACAAAAATAGAATCGATATGCACGAAATCGATATGCACAGAAATCGATATGCACAAAATCAATATGCACAAAAATTAGTTACCTCGAATGAGACCAAACTCTTGATGAAATAATTGCCAATTATCATAAGATTAAAATGCTTGGCATTATTAAATCATCCTTATATATTTATTTAATAAAAAAGTGGCGTACTCAAATGTTCAAACATTAAATAAAAATGTAAGTAACTAATTATCCTGAAATGAATTTTTCTTTTAATACAGTTTAAAGTTTTTTTCTCAAATTTTCACCAAGTAGAGGATAATCTACAACTACTCTTTATAATGTACAATTCGTTAAACACGATTTACTGGTGGAGTGACGAATTAATTAGTCGAGTTAAGCGAGATTGTTTTCCAGAACTTAGAAGAAGAATTGTATTCTTCTGAAATTTAAATTTTAGCTTTGAAATTTTCTTTGTTTATAAAACTCAAATACTTATTTACATAATTTTGAAACTTAAATATATACAGCTGTTTTTACAGAAACAAAATGTTTATTCTCAGAGTATGTTTAGCATGCATTTGTTTTATTTGAAGAAAATATATATATGTGTACATATATATATTTGGCTAAACTTTCGATGTTATATGTAGCGAAATAAAAACTGTAGATCCTTTCGAGCAATATGTTTCACAATAAATTTAGCTATAAAATGTCATGAGAAGTTTCGTTATTGTCTTACCAAATACTTTCATTTCCTTCTCAGCTTCGGCAGTATCGAAGGACGGGGCCTCGGCTGATATTTCGCAGCGGTACATTCCTCCAGAATTCAAATCCACGTGACGAAGATAAACGGAATTCTTTCCAGATTTTGAAAGCTGAAAAATATATTCGCTATTAAAAAAAACAAACACACTTTTATCAACTGTATGCACATGCTTTCTAAAAAAAACCCGATGTATTTCTTCAATTTCAAGTTTTATTCTTATAATTCTCATTTATTTTTGTAATAAATTACGTCTGCAATCTTTTAAAATCTAAGAAATTCGTAATTGGAAAATTTATCTTTTCAAATGATACGTTTTATCTTTTGAAATCGATTACTTACATATCTTCATATCAAAGGGAAAGAATCAATTAAATCTATAAAGTAAAGAAGCCCAATTTAACGTATTTGGTTCAAAGAAATCTATAACCCATTTTAAAGTATTTGAAATAAACAAATCCACAAAATGCCTTCCCGATGCTCGATTGTAATTACCATATTAATACCTGAGGTTATATAAGTCAATAAGCATTACCTTGATGTATTCAAAATTACTTTACTCAATTTGTTCCAAATACTCTCTTTTTTAACATTCTGTGCTTTGAAAAAATGAAAATATTGCCTTACAATGATATTATATTTTGTCTCTAGAATGTTAATGCCATTAAAAATAACGAAAGAGAATTTTTTCTAAAACTATATTCTATTAGTGACAAACAAACATAAAGCCAAAACTTTTGTTCAAATTAATTCGCCGCTATTTTTAAAAGATTTAAACGAACAGGAGAAATTCTATTTCATACTATTTCTTACATTACTCTGACTTTTGTTGTAACTCAAAAAATAAAATAAAGCAGATTAAATGACATAGTTTATTTTTAATTTTTATGCTTTTCAGTCCCGAATCTCAAGTATGCATTGTTGAAATCTCATAAAAGTATAATCTTCCTTTGAAAAATTCCATTAAGTCATTCATTTTATGTAATAGTAATATCAAGTTTATTTATGTTAATTGAATGAGTATTCTGACTTAAAATGCCTGTAAAACACGCTTTTGGAAAATCAGATTTACATAATGTGTACTGAAATGCATTTATTATTACATACTCATAAGATAAGCAGAAACAACTCTAGATCAATAAATAGAGAATATGATTTTCTGTAAAGAAATAATTAAAGAGAAAATTTAACAGTTGTATATTATCATCCAAATAGATATTCTTAAGATTATCTTATATTTTGTAATCTTGGATAATAATGGCTTCGTAATATAAATGCAAAAATAATCTAGCAAAACTATAAGTTCGTTTGAAATCAAAGTGAGGAGTCCATAAGGATAAAATAACTGTTTTTCTGCAAGACGCATGGCTTTTAACTTTAAGATTTTCAACTTTTTAATTATTTATTTGGTAAATCCCCTTATCTCTGCAAAGCATACTTTTTCAATACATAGATGTAATGTAATGAAACAAAAAATAGCTAGTATTTTCTCACATGCTAAACAAAATTGCACACATATTAAAGATAGCGAAACGATGAAGTCAGTTTTATTGGTCAATATACAAAGAAAAGTAGAAGCTGCGTTTTCTATTATTCTCATGAAATATGATTTTGATAATTAACATAAAAGTACTAGTAAATCAAAAATAATAAATTTTGAAATTATGATGGTTTGCGCAGGATGACAGATTTTTGCTTAGGTTCTGATCCCATATAAGGCACAGAAATTATATCAAAGCGGCTAGTCGAACGATCACCTAGAGAAGTCTGTCAATCAGCAAATCTGTCAAGAAGCTAGTGATAAAACGATGAGAAGTAGGAGAACATCTGTTTTTCTCACATGGAGTAATATCGGTCCAAACTGTGATGAAAATTAAGCAAAGATCGTAGTATGCTTTAAAAGAATTAAATAACCTCATTCCGTGAGTTGCTAACTACAAACTTAATTAATTTTTATATGTTCATAAAAAGGTAACGTATATTAAAGAATCGTTATTAGGATATTTGTTATTTTATTGATATTGTTATTTATTGATATTTGTTATTTTATTGAATTAGATACTAATTACTAAAAATTGATATCTTTAGTAAGTAGTATCTAATTCTCATAAACGTAACTTTCATTATTCAACTGATTTGTTTATGCTAAATGCATTCTAATGGACTCCTTTTCAACAAAGAATTTTTTATTCAGCTGTTCTTAATATAATATATCTTTTCAAAAATACATAAATAATTTCAAATGAAGTTACGAAAAAAGACATGATTATCTATTTCGTACTTTTCAGAATTAAATTCACTTTATTGTTTATAAATTTAGGAAATCCTTTGGGCTGTCTTTGCGGAGTAAAAGCCTCCTACTAAAAGTATCTAATAAATTGTACAGAATGCCTACTTCTATGAGAGCCTACTCGTCGCCGCTGCTAAAAGGGGTAAATCGAGTGCACCTAGATATTCCGTTTGAAGCCAAATATTGCATTGCAGCTTTGAAACAACGTTTACTCAGAATATCGCTAATGATTAGAAATCTAATCCACAAATTTCTAATTCAATTTCGCTTGCTACGAGGGAAGTTACTATAACTGATTGGTTGAGAGCATCAATCATATCAAAGGGAATGAGAGCAATGGATTAACTGAACACAGTGGTTAAATAAACTCTATTACTTTTGGAATATTTCATTTAAAATGAAAAGGAAAATTGATTATAGTAAGAGCATGGCCAAATTCATAACCTGTAATTAAAGAAATGGTAAACGATATAAACTGTCATGAGAGAGAAAAATGTGATAATACGCATAGAGATTCACTATCCTAAAGAAAATATTAGAAGAAGCGTAGACAAAAAACATAACCAGCTGTTAAAAAATAAATGAAAGTAATTAATGCTAGGAACAATGGCAATATCATTAAATAAATAGAAGCAATTGTTAAATATTGCACTCTGTTTCTGCAGATTCTACCCACGACAGACAAAAGGGGGAATAACTTTTATATACAGGTTCCTTTTCTGCAACCTAAGAATCTGACAGTAAATTTTTGATGGCCACTTTAGGTAACTGGGAGCTCCTAATTTATTATTTTGATTTGAAAATGATGACTAGGTCTTTTGCGAAGATAAATTAAGCCGCTGAGAGAAATATCTTGGCAAAACCAGAGAGGTCGCAAATTCTGAACTCTTAATTATCATCAAATCTGAAAGTTCTTAATGAAAATTTATTACGTTTATAAATTAAATTGAAAATACAAGAATATAAAAAGTCTCCACATGACTATATTTACTTTTATCAATCATAATAATACAGTTATCGGACAACAGTTTCGAACTCTAGATGATATCGTATTGACTGTTGTAATAATAATTCACTATTTAAGAACTAAAATTAGCAGTTTGGATTAAATGGATCTATATTTCAAGATGATTACTGATTTCCGTGTACGAGTACTTAGTTTGATTTTATACATCTAAAAAAGAAAGAGATAAAATACTAAATTTAATTTGCTATTGCCCGTTAACTCTCTTTTATAATTTGCTTCTTTTCTCGTTTCTAAAATTAGTGTCATGCTTGTAATAAATCACTCTAAGAGCCAATAATAAGGTTGAAATTTTCGAAGTGAGATATTTAGCAATCAGTCACAGTCAGAATTACTACTTTAATTTAATAAGTCTTAACCAGATCTTCATGCTATTATATGAGCATTCTTTTGCCTTGCATCTCTGTCGTCACTTATATTTCATTCTTAAAATACGTGATTAATGTATATATATACTTTATATGTCTTGTATATATATATATATATATATGTGTGGTGTGTGTGTGTGCGCGCGTTTGTTGCGGGTGTCTATATCTAGTTATATGCAAATTTTTCACATGGCACATATGAGGATTAAATTGTTAAACTGCTTTTACAGCAGTGCCATTTTTCTAATTACAATTTTTAATAACTGTTTTGATTAAAATTTTTAAAAATTAAAGAATTTGCTTGATTAATTTATTTGTCCTTAGTTTCTTGTATCCGAATATGATTTTTGACTTTGCATTTATTTTATTTTCTACTTTAGCTGTTGTTTATTAGAATTTAAATAATTGTTTACTGCTTACTGTTTACTATTGTTATTACACACACATATATATATATATATATATATAAAGAGAGATACAGAAAGTTATTAATTAAATTTATATATATATAGAACTGCGTTATGCTGCATTTTGATTTTGAAAGTCCATTTTTGCTTTTTTATTAATGTATAATTACATATATATATAATCTATATGGTGTTTGTGTGTATGCATGTGCTCAGTGTCTCTCTGCATCGATCTCTCTTTCTCTCTCTCTCTCTATATAATATATTATACATAATTAAATAGTAATATATATATTATATAGTAAGGGGAAAATTAAAACCATTATACCAGCTGCGCTATGCTGCAGGATTGAAGTAAAATAGGACTTAAAGAATCTAAAGGAAATTGGAGTGAAACGAAGGTAGAACGAAACACGTTTTCGAAACATATTAAATATTAATCGACTTTTATGAAGCTATAATTCATTTTCCCCGCATGAGTTTTGAATTGGAGTTTCAGTAAAGTGAGATTAATTTTCATTTTTATATTTTTATTATTTTATATTTTTCCCCTTTGCATTTTCATTTTTATTTTTAGATTTTGTGCTGCTATGAATTCTTATTTTAATCTTGATATGTTTCGATATTGTGTTAAACCTCTTATACACGATTGCTATTACTAATTTGTTGAGGAATAACCTTGATTTGACTTCAATTTACTTTTAACTTTAGATTCTTTAAGTCTCTCTTTCTCTTTATGTATATATATATTACGTTGGTGCTAGTGCTGCGAAATCATTCTGCAACCGCTGATTTGAGAGATAAGTAAAATCTGATTCAAATACCCCACATTGTTTTAGTCATACAATTAAAATTACATTTTGATATTGGCATGTATCGATGGACAAAATTAAATACTAATTCTAAGTATTTTTTCAAACTATTTTTTTTTTAATATTTCGTGAAAATTTTCTTCTTGTTTATCATATAATCTTGAATTAGGAAGCTGATTACTGTGTTCAAAATTAGCATTTTGAAATATTA